CCTTGACAAATAGGTCTGGGGGGAGGTTTCAAACCAATAACAGTCAAAAAAATTGCCCCTTATGAATGGTTAAAAAATAAAATAAAAACAGAACCTCGCCCAGACACCACCCCTAGGCCTGGAGCCAGGCCTGGGGGTGGTGTTCGCCGGCAAGCACCTGATGACCCACGTAATCCGGTTGGGCCCAGCCTAAAATGGCTATGTAGCGCCGTTTTGTAGGCCCACCAGCCGCAGGACCAAGGGTGAGGGGTGGGTGCGATGCCAGTATGGCAGGGAGAGGAATGGTCTCAGATGGATTGGACTTTGGCAATGGACACTCCCTATTGGGACGTGGAATGTCACGTCACTGGGGGGTGTGGGGGGGGGTGCTGGAGCTGGTGGAGGAGGTGGAAAGGTACCGACTAGATATAATCGGTCTCACCACCACACACAGCATTGGCAGTGGAACCAAATTTTTCAATTGGGGGTAGTCTATTCCGAGTAACCCCTGGTGAGAGTCCCCGGGCAGGTGTGGGGATACTCACAAGCTCCTGGCTGGGTACTGTTCTGTTGAAGTTTGTCCCAGTGGATGAGAGGGTCGCCTAAATGAGACTTCTGGTCTCAGAAAGGAAAACTCTGACTGTTGTCTGTGCTTATGCACTAAACAGCTGTTCAGAGTATTTGGCCTTCTTGGAGATCCTGGGTGCAATGCTCAATAGAGTGCCGCCTACCGACTCCATAGTCTTACTAAGTGACTTCAATGCTCACGTGGGAAGTGTTGTATATAGGTCTTTTTCCAAAAAATAAGATTAAGAATAATTCTGGCAATTTTTTTTTTTAATAATCAACCGCGGGGTCGCTTGGAGCACAAACAAAATGTAACCCCCACCCACACCCCACAACAGCTGCCTTTCAGAAACACGGAGCCGGAGATAGAGGTAATAAAAAAACCCTTGGTACAAAGGAAGGAGAGGGGGAAGCTCTCTAATGAGATTCTGGGGAGATCTCATCAAACTTCAAAGGCCAGCTTGTCCAGGGCGGTGAAAACCAAACAGGCAAGTTTTTAGGTTATGTTAGTTAACGGAAAAATCCAAAAACTTAGTGACAAGAATAAGTGAACATCATAGACCCACACACTCACTCCAATGAAGAACCAGGCTACAATCTACATCAGTGGATTATTATTTCTCAATTATTAATTCAATACTAATGTTATTTTTTTAATCTTTATCTATGCGACCTGACCAAAGCATCAAAGAATGAATTCTGGCAGTCAGGCATGTTCTTAAGCCAAAATGTAATTCTCCAACCTCGGGATATCAAATAATAATAATAACTCGAGAACAGACAGCACAAACCCTGGATACAGACGGGGGAACGAAGGTTAATAAAACCCTAGGAATATACGTGGTAATAACCATGATAAATGACAAACCAAATAATAATTATGAAGAATTAGACCAAGGGTCATCCAGAAGAATAAAAAGGCGAAGTAGGTCAACCACGTGCAACCAAGATAAAATGTCTTCCATAGAGAAATCCTCCCAGCCGCCTTTGTCTCCCAGCAGCACGTGATAGCAAGATTTGCACACAGGTAAAAGAGCATCCCCTTCCATTGATGACAGGAAGGCTTTGATTAAACTTATATTACCCCAAAAAAAATTAACAAACGCACACACACGTACCCAAAACAACAGGAAAATGCCACCGGACAGGAATCAGGCCAGGGTGAGACTTAACAGATGGCTTAATAAACAAACACACACACACACACGCACAACTCCCCCCCCCCCCCCCCCCCCCCCACAGCAAAGCTACATCAAAGGAATTCCGGTCCATTGTGAGAAGGCGAGCTGAGGTGGGCGAATTTTCATTTAAGCACGAACACAGTTCAAGCTTTTCAGTCTTGCAAAGGAACTAGAGGGGCATGGCCTCGAGATCAACCATAAGTGTCGCCTCGCAGAGAGAAGGGACGATGTGTTGTTAAGAGCTGAGTTCGGCATGGGCCGACAGAGTATCGCTGAAAGTCTATTCTACATTTGTCCTGATGTTTTGAGTCGCTTGCAAAGTCAAGGATTGCGATAAGTTGTATGGTACTAAGCATTCACAGTCGTTTAAGAGGTGTGCGAATACAATTACAAGTTTTGAGAGGATGCTAGCGGACGAGCAGCTGCAGCTGGAGTTGAACTGACGAGCAACGACGAGCAATCAACCGGGAGAAAGGGCGGAAAGCGCCAAGCATCGACCAAGCGAGCATCGCACAAGACCAGCAGCAGCGCCAGCCGCGCCATCGAGCAAGGGTGCCTGCCACCAGCGAACGAGCGCATCGTTCATCGCCAGAGAGCCCGGAGCCGGAGAGAGTGCGCAGCAGCGCCAGCCGCGCCATCGAGCAAGGGTGTCAGCTGCCAGCGGACGAGCGACAAGAGCATCTTCAAGGACAAGCATCGTGCCGACGCAGCTCATCCAGCAGCGGAGAGAGCCGGCAGCTAACAGCAGACACGCCCCGAGCGAGAGGGGGAGCAACGAAGCCGTTAGTATAATACGCCCACCCTCACACACTCAGCGCTCCGCAGGGAACAAACTAAAATTTGGTACAAGGAATGCCCAACCTCGGCGTCTGCTTTACGCAAAGAATTGATCAAAGAAGACACACGAACACAACACACATATCGGGACGAATAAAATTGTTCCAAAAAGTTATCTTTGTGTTTCAAGAAGGGTTGCCATTCCAAGGTGGTGCGTTAAATATCAACTGATCGTGAAAAGCATTTGCTGCCCGTCGAGTTATATGAATACGATTGTTAGAAGCATTTTAGTCATTCGTTTTCGTTAATTGCATAATCTTGGCAATGATTTAATTGACGTATACTTTTGCCTTCGGGATATAATAATATTTTTATTGCCTTTCGTATGAATATCGTCGCATGCCTGTTTAAGGACTTTTCCCTATCGCCGTATATGCTCGCGTTACTCGGTGGAATTAAACAATTGTTCGGTTGCCCAGTTTAACAATGTAATCATTGATGGTTAAATGTACGGATCAATGAGGGGAACTTCCCCAGTGGTGCTGTGCTGATAATTCCAAGCATAAGAGTTCGCATATTAGAGTGTTATGTTTTGTTTAGAAATTCAAATTGCTTAACACAGTGTCCTGAGTGGTTCCTTCGTGAGTTCATGCATAATAATCTTATTTATAAGAACTGTATCCTGCGTTGAGATTTGAATTTTGAGACCGAACATAAACACACTAAGACATAATCAGTAAATGGTAAAGCGAGAATAATTGTATTATTCCGATTGATAATACAACCCTAGACAACGAAGCCGAGCTTAATTTAGCATAATTACATTACACTTGGATAACTTCATACAACTCATTGTATTATCCTGATTGATAATACGACCCTAGACAACGAAGCTAAGCCTAATTATAATAACCGAATACATTAGTATAATCGCATACATTCGCATAACTTAATACGATAACATCCATAATTAGCATAATAAATGCGCATAATTATATAAAATAGCAACATTTACGCTAATTATGCATTTCCCCAATCTTCTTTTCAGTTTTTTTTTAATTAATTTTTCAAGACCCGACATATATTCAACAAGCGATGGAGATACCTGGAAAGGCGTGATTGGGAGGAATGGCCCCCCTGATCTCAAGCCAAATGGTGAGATGTTATTGGAATTCTGCACTAGTCACAGAATGTCAATAACAAACACCGTGTTCAAGCACAAGGATGTTCACAAGTGTACTTGGTACCAGAGCACCTTGGGCCGGAGGTCAATGATTGACATTATAGTTGTATCATCGCACATAAGGTTGTATGTTCTGGACACTCGGGTGAAGAGAGGGGCCAAGCTGTCAACTGATCACCACCTGGTAGTAAGTTGGATCCGACGCTTGGGGCACTGACCATATAGATCTGGAAGGCCCAAACGAATAGTGCAGGTTTTCTGAAAACATCTGGCGGAAGACCCAGTGCAGAAATATTTCAACTTCCACCTCCTGGAAAACTTCTCCTACACTTCAGGGGAGGTCATGGACATTGAGACCGAGTGGAAGATGTTTAGGACCTCGATTGTTAATGCAGCTGCGAAAAGCTGTGGTCTGAAGGCAGTTGCTTCCTGTCATGGCAGCAACCCAAGACCCACTCGTGGACACTAGTAGTGAGGGAAGCTGTCAAGTTAAAGGAGGATTTCCGAGCAATGCTTGGAAAAAGTTATCCCGAGTCTATGGAGAGGTACCGGCTTGCCAAGAGGGCGGCAGTGGTAGCAGTCGCTGAAGTGAAAGCCTGGGCATGGGAGGAGTTTTGAGAGGCAATGGACAGGGACTACTGGGCAGAATCAAAAATGTTCTGGCAAACTATTCGATGCCTTAGGAGGGGTCGACGGGATGTGGCCCAGGCTGTTCTCTGTAAGGATGGCTTAACATTGAACTCAACGAAGGAGATAGTAGAAAGGTGGAAGCAACACATTGATGAGCTCCTCAACCCGGTGGACATGCCCCCTCTCAGGATCGAGAGGAGCCAGTTGAGGTGGTTCAGGCACCTGGTATGGATGCTCCGTGGTTGACTTCCCCTGGAACTCTACGAGGCATGTCCAACTGGACGAAGACGCCGGGGCCGGCTCAGGACACGCTGGTGGGACTATGTCGCTCAGCTGACCTGGGAACACCTGATAATTCCCCAGGAAGAGCTAGAGTCTGTCATCAGGGAAAGGGAGGTTTGGACCGCCCTACTTAACATGATGCCGCCGCAACCTTCACTAGAACAGGCGAATGAGAAAAGAACGAATGGGGTTCAGTTTGTTGCCCTTTTAGTAGTGGCATACACCATTGCCTACTGTGTCAGGTGGATGCAACAAAAAGGGGGAGTTTCATTCCTGTAAAGCGGAACTAAACGTTCCCCTTCCCTTGCTTGCATTAACTGAGTTGTGACAGGTCCCAAAGTGTCTAGCTACAGCTCTGCATATATATTATACAGTACTCTCAATTAATGCCACACACTCACCAGATGGAGAGAAACCCAGAAGCAGATTAATATGGCAAAGCAGATTTGTGTTTGCGTTGAACACCGTTAGCTCTGTGGTGAGTGCCGCCGTGCGGGAGTCTAGCCAGGAGTTTTCCTTCAGGTACGCAAGAGTGTCGGTGGCGTTTGCTGCATCATTTATCAAGTCCACCAAGTAACCGTCACTCCCGAGTGAATCTGCAAAGAAACACCAAGCATTATCGCCACAGAGGAGAGCAATTTGAAAGCCCATTCTCCAGGTCGAGAATCTCATTGTATATCAATGCTTTGGAGCGTTTTACTGTGGGCATAAACGCAATCCCAAGTCCCCTTATATTTCACAAACATTCAAAAACTATTGTGCTCTATACACTTTGTTTTCACTCAGTAGACCATTTATAACGCACAATATTAGAAATCCATGTTTTTTTTACGATTAGCATAACTTGCTTTCAAATAAAATCATATGAATTAGTTTAACACATAGACTTTCGTGACCAATATCTATAATAAAGGTTATTTGGGTTAGATCGCTAAAATATAAATACGTCGTTAAGACCGAAACAACAGGACTTCACAATTATGGTTATCGTCTGATGCAGCTGGTTGTCATTACCAGCGAAACAAACTCGAATTGTAAATGTGGTATTACTCTCCAACACACTGGTGTGCTGAAGTAGTAACTAATTGGCATGTGTTGTTTACGTCACAAACCTTACTAATTGGCTTTGTCAGGTGGTGGCGAGTCTAATGACACATTATACTTACGTGATCTAATCCCAAAAAACCTTTATTATAATAAATACCTTTGAAAATAAACTGTAGCAACAAAATCTTACCGAAGTTAATTAGGGTGCTCTCTCCTTCTAGATTCTGGTAAATCCAGTATTTGTCTTTCTCATCATCTATTATGTTTGATTTTACCCAGGCCTTCGTATAGTTACTAGTATCCCTTTCTGGTGGAAAGTATTCGACATCTTCCAACATTTTCACATAATTCATCTCACTTGGTGCTGTCATTAATATAGACACAACATGAATTTATACTTCATCAAACCAAAAATATGCAGCAGTTAAGGTAAATAAAGTCGAGAATAACATTGAACATGCATTTGAAAGAGCATGTCCTTGAGTGTTGCTGTAAGCTTTTCTCCTTAGAAACTTGGTAGATATATTGTAAAATGCAATACAACTCAAATTAAAATGTATTCTTAACACTTGATTTTTTTTCGATTCAGCAAATAAACTCTATTAACTGGATATGTATAGTTTGTGAAACAATATTGTTTAACCATTTTATTTCTACCACTATGTAAAGTAATATTGCGTATCATAGTACGTGTTTTTTTTATGAAAACGAATGTAAAACAACAACATTTATCCTGGAATAGTAAAATGTGAAAGTCTTTACCTTTTGTGTATCTCTTCTGTCTCAACTGAACCAGCCCAATTAAAACAATTTCAAAGGACTTTGTCTTGTTGAGATAATTGTTTTCGGCAACTGTGCTGGAATGGGTTTGAATCATGTATGGTAAGATTGAGTTAGACACCCAGTCCCAATAGTCTAGGATATCAGCAACCTGGAGGGAGAAAATTTAATCTGAGAATATTTAGTCCCACTAAAATGGAACATGATTTAAATAATTAACTTTGGCAAAAGGGGCTTTTCTCTAAGTGGATAGTTATTTTTGCACTTTTAACTAAAATATTGCATTGAACAATCTGTGGGTATTCGAACAAAGTAGATGAAAAGTAACAGTAAAAACACCAGCGAAACTGCATAACCTTGAGTTCATATAGTATAGTACTATATAGTATAGTTCATATAGTACTTCTGGAAATATAATAAGAATGCTTAATATAATTTAATATCGCTTTGGTTTGACGTCTGTGACAGAATGTGACCATGCATGTGTGAGTGTTTTGTGATCTCCAAGTGAATGGTGTTTTAGAAGTGTCAATGATTATTATCGATGTAAATTAAACCCAACTATTTTATTTATCAGGTAAAGCCCACTGAGCTATTAGCTCTTTTTCAGAAGATACCTGGCCACAAATGATAGCTCAACGAAGTGGATTATCGTGTGGAAATTTATATCAGCCAAATAATCTAAACGCTTGTTTCTAATCATCACATCACATCTCTGAAGCGAATCAGGCTCAGGCCTAGGTCGTGCATGATGTGCGACCATTGCAAAGCAACAGGGTTGTCATAGCTCTATGGGTTTTTGGTGGGCAGCAGAGGGAAGTGTGAGAACATAGTTTTACTGTACTTCCATGCCACCGTGTCTATGCTCCCTGATTTCACCAACCTGCACTAAACACAGTGGTGATTTAAGATCAATAACAACCATGACCTGAATGTATGTAGAACTTCTTTCGCACCATACGTAGCCAGCCGTGCCAATCGGAGATGTGGGAGGACAACAAACTAAACAGAAAATGCAATTCTAAAAAAATGAGTTTTCAATCTTTTATCAATCCAAAGCCTTCATCCATCATAACATTTATAAAGGAGCTGCACATTTTAGAGCTCGCATTTATAATCTTCATTATGTAGATTTAACTTCTTTCGCACCGTACGTAGCCAATCGTTAAGCAATAGAATGTATGGACGTTGTATTTAATGCGCTGTATACTGTACGTATATTTTGACCTCTGAAATAATGTTAACTTCTGTATAAAGTGAAGTAAAATGTGTTATAAATTGTCAACAGATGTAAATATTGTTGTTTCATTGACAACTGAAAACAAGTATCGACTGTATATGCTGCACGCTTAAATAGCGTAAAATGGATTTCACTTACGGTTTCAAATTTTCTCGTAATGAATGTTTTCTCTGTATTCGTTTTAAAATGAATGGCCGAACCATTCACATGTGTGTATGCTACAAAAAACAGCGGCACCAGGTAGAGGACACTAAAAAGTATCTTTAGGCGTAGTAACCTTTGTAAAGTCCGTCCGAAAATGAGGCAATTTGCCTTTGCAAAAGATGGCTCTATTGGAAGAAATACAATGATATGCATTAACAATTAAACCGACTATTTTTACCATTTTGTTATGGACAAAAATATATTACATTTTTCCTCCACAGATGATTGTTTTAATTTACCTAACCTAAAAATAAAATTACAGGAAGAGTTTCGATTTAAAGCTTTCGTGACTGCAGGGATTCATCTTCTTGGTTCTTTCGGTAAAGTCACGTAGAAGGGAAGTAATAAAATAATAAAAATAAAACATAATAAAACAATTCTCACGACGTTTCGGCCACAACGCAAGCAGCCGTCCTCAGGTGAAAACCAGGTCCGTCGAGGCGACAGAGTCTGAATGAAACAGCACACGAGCTTGGAGCATATATATAAGCTGGGCGCATTGACAAAGGAATTTGCATATCAAAATGAATTTAGCATATTTATGGGAAATGCAGGAATGTGATTAGTCCTGCATATGCATGTGCATCATGCAGGATTAACAGCATCAAAGGGAGCTGCAGTTACTGCTGCTGCTGAAATTACTGCTGCTGCTAAAGTTTCTGCTGCTGCTGCAGTTGCTGCTGCTGCTGCACTTGCTGCTGCTGCTGCACTTGCTGCTGCTGCTGCTGCAGTTGCTGCCTTATCCATTTTAATATAACACTATGTATTATTCTACCCACCCTAATGTGTATCACACTGCTATATGTTTACTATACAATTACGACACCATACATTACTCTGCACACTGCACCATGCCAGTGAGTGGAACGCGGTCTGAAAGTCACCGTAAACGTGAACACAATCAGTTAAGGTCCGAAATGGTTTATTACGTCCTTCCAATGATTGCTAAGCCAGAATCCATCTTCTCGGTTGAAATTGTCTCTGTGTTTGTATATGTGGATCGCCTCATGAACGAATCTCTCATGATAGCCAGATGGCTTGCAGAGAACCTCTGTCTTGGAGAAGTCAATGGCATGTGAGCCCACTGAATTGTAACAGTGATCTGCCACGGCTGAGGTGTTTGTCCTACCGTGTTTCAGGTCTGCCTTATGAACACATTTCCAGTGAACTCAAACACGTACGCCAAGCTCTTAAGGCTAATGGTTACTCCGACTACACAATCCGCAAAGCCATCACTCCAACCATCAAGAAGGATCCTGTTCAGGAGCCTTTCAAGACCATCACCTTACCCTACATTGCTGGGGTCACAAAAAAGATCTCCAAAATCCTGATTAAACACAAGATCCAGGTCCGATTCAACACAGTACATAAAATCCGTGATCTGGTCCCGTCTGTAAAAGATGTGGTTCCAGACATACAGTACCCTGGCGTCTACAAACTAAGTTGCCTCTGTGGTAGCAGTTACATTGGAGAAACCAAACGACATGTCTCGGACCGCATCCGTGAACATAAGGCAGACCTGAAACACGGTAGGACAAACACCTCAGCCGTGGCAGATCACTGTTACAATTCAGTGGGCTCACATGACATTGACTTCTCCAAGACAGAGGTTCTCTGCAAGCCATCTGGCTATCATGAGAGATTCGTTCATGAGGCGATCCACATATACAAACACAGAGACAATTTCAACCGAGAAGATGGATTCTGGCTTAGCAATCATTGGAAGGACGTAATAAACCATTTCGGACCTTAACTGATTGTGTTCACGTTTACGGTGACTTTCAGACCGCGTTTCACTCACTGGCATGGTGCAGTGTGCAGAGTAATGTATGGTGTCGTAATTGTATAGTAAACATATAGCAGTGTGATACACATTAGGGTGGGTAGAATAATACATAGTGTTATATTAAAATGGATAAGGCAGAAACTGCAGCAGCAGCAGCAAGTGCAGCAGCAGCAGCAAGTGCAGCAGCAGCAACTGCAGCAGCAGCAGAAACTTTAGCAGCAGCAGTAATTTCAGCAGCAGCAGTAACTGCAGCTCCCTTTGATGCTGTTAATCCTGCATAATGCACATGCATATGCAGGACTAATCACATTCCTGCATTTCCCATAAATATGCTAAATTCCTTTTGATATGCAAATTCCTTTGTCAATGCGCCCAGCTTATATATATGCTCCAAGCTCGTGTGCTGTTTCATTCAGACTCTGTCGCCTCGACGGACCTGGTTTTCACCTGAGGACGGCTGCTTGCGTTGTGGCCGAAACGTCGTGAGAATTGTTTTATTATGTTTTATTTTTATTTTATTACTTCCCTTCTACGTGACTTTACCGAAAGAACCAAGAAGATTACAGGAAGAGCATTAAGCAGTCCCACTCATTAAACCTCTTTCCGATCCTCTCTTTAAACGTACCTCTTCTCTATTGCCCATTCTCTTCCCTCGTCCCCCCCCCGCCCCCTCCCACATGATCCCTAAGTACCCCTCTATGGCAGCCACTTATTCATCACGCCTTGCACGCCCCTGCCATCTAAATCATTCTGTTCAGTCACCGTTGTTTTTACTATGTTAAATGACTTGAGTGAAGGCACTCTTATAAATATAAAATAAACATGTGTTCGAAGGTAATTCTGCATTTATTACAACATTCATAATTTCATGTTACTTTTTTGTACGATATTAATATTGGAAGTTCCACAAGAAGGCGAAATTCTGCATAACATCGAAAAATTAACCTACCTTTCAGTTGGCTTGAGTGCAGAGCACTGTGAACCTCTACGTACGATTGTATTATCTCTCGGTTGTGAAAATGCTTTGCCTTTTTCCACAGTAAATACTTCCCAAATGCAGAGACAATGTTCTGAAAAAATAATTGTTCCAGTATTTAAAAATACAACTATAAATCAGGTAATATTCTGATAACATCAACGTAAAACATCTATTTCAGACCTTTATCAATCCATCGCTAAAGGCCCCCGCCATGTCAGTAATTGAGGATGACAATATTTAAATTGTCATTAAGAAATGTATACACACTTGATGATTTACAAGTGAATGATTGAATTGGCACATACACAAGCAGAAATGAATGTGAATTATGACTGGGAATACTCAATGTCATATTGCCATACCTATCCTCTGACACTGTAACATATTTTCCACCGTGAAGCCTAGCCTTGACTTTCTAGTATTGGCTAGTCCATTTTATAACAGGAATAATGCAATGATGTCATGAGACATGGCACAATTTCCACTCCCAGCCCCTGATGTAGGATTAGCTTCTATTCGTAGAGCAGATGGGCACCTGCCTATTGCTCCCAGAATATTGTGCTTAAAACGTGCTCGTGAATGATGTAAAAAGGGTTTATGGAGTTACTGCTGCAAGCCACCCACTTTTATTCACGACATCAGATTTGATGAATGCTGAGCTCAAAATAAGAAATTTTCTACTTTTGAATGCAAATAAAAGTGTGTGCATTGAATTTTTTGTTTTTACCTATTTTTTTGCATGAAACCTATATTGACTATTTAATTTTGCCAGGTAAGGATCACTTGAGCTATATAGCTCTTTTTAAGAAGTGACCTGGCCACAAATGATAGCCCAATGAAGTGGCTTATAATACGGATATTTGTATCAGGCTAATACTCAAAGCACATGCTTCTAAATGTGGAGGGGAAAACTGAAGGATCTGGAGAATAATCCACACCAGCATGAGAGGAGAGACACACACACACACTCCAAACTATACGGGCGTTAGGGTCAGGATGGAGCTCACGCCCTCCTGTATACCAAGCGAGGTAGTTAATATCTCACCACCGCGAGATGTTAACTGTAAAGAACAGCATCACTATTACCCTCAACGACTATGAACAAATCACCTGGACTTGGAATGCGCCCGATCTGGTTGGACCTTGAAAGCCAAGCAGATCTGAGCTTGGGCAGTGCTTGAATGGGTGCCCACCAAGCACAAACAGGTTGTCATAGGGCTGTGGGGCCACGTTGTGTTTATATCCAGTTGTACTATACGTCTATGCTGGCCGCCTTTATTAATCCGCACGGACCACCCAGGGCGTGAGGAGGCCCTCATCCAGCAGTAAATTGACAAAAGGTCTCCGAACTCAGATAGGCATTGTGCAGCGCTCATCTCCACTAGTGTAAATTTCATATTCCCATGACAGGGACAATCTATCACAATCACTGACGACTTCACACAAAGTGGTACCTATTCTGACTGTAGAGATGACAATGATGGCTTGCCTATGTCAGTATTATTATAACTGTTGGTCTCGCGCTAAGGAAGAGAGAACCGCAGCGGCCGCTCCGGCGCCATGGCGAGCGGCGATATGAGCCCCTTTTATTGGTCAAAGGTTCCCCAACAGCCGCTCTGATTGGACGACAAGTTTCCTCGCGTAGCTGGGCGCGACCATTCGTGATTTGATATGGGGGGGCGTGTACGAGTATTAATTATTAAAATGTATAATAGGGTTTTTCCGTTTTTTTCTGGCAACAAAACTGAAGCCTTTATACAAGGAATCATGTGTGCATTAACCACAATACTTGTGGTCCGAATGCAAACAAAAAACACACTGATAATATATGCATTGTCCTTGAAACTGATTGGTCCACACCAGGGACGGCTTTCTTTTGAGCCTCGTCTCAATTGGTGCTCGACCAGAGGACGCCAAAAGGTGCTAGACCACAAGTATTGTGGTTAATGCACACATTATTCCTTGTAAAAAGGTTTCAGATTTTTTTCCAGAAAAAATGGGAAAAACCCTATTGTTATATTTTGGTACTGGCAAAGGAGGTCTAATGATATTAAAATGTACTTTAAAACACAAATAGGCCCAGGATTCGCGGGACCTGAATAGTTTATTTATTTATTTCGTGACGGCAGGGATTTATATTCTTAGGTTCTTTCAGTAAAGTCACGTAGAAGGGAAATAATAAAATAATAAAAATATTAAACAATAAAATTATCACGACGTTTTTTTATATTTTTATTATTTTATTATTTCCCTTCTACGTGACTTTACCGAAAAAACCAAGAATACGTTTAATGAAATCTTGAACTGTAACGCGAGACGAGCCTGTGTCGAAAATTCCAGCTTGATAAGTTTCGTAGATCTGAACGTATTAAGCGTAAAAGATTTCAAAGAATATAAACAGAAAAACAGGGCAAATAATAACAAAAAACACTCCATGAATCAGATCCAAATGGTCTGCTTTTATCCAGTTCCAAGCTCTGGTTCATCCATTTCCTTACCTGAAATGTATTATTTTGATTTACACCGTAATAATTTATTTGCTGTTCATAGAAATAATTAATATATAAACAATTATCCAGGCTTTAACAATTCCAATCATCTGGTTTAAAAGTACCGTTTGTATACATACTGTGTTGTAAAACATCTAAATTTGAAAAAGTAAACTTTTTTGTATTCCTTGTATATATGTACTCTATAGCAGTGTTAATTCATATGTACTGATTTCTTTATAAGCTTTTACCTTCATGGGTTGAACCAATATTACAGATATTAGGAAGGATGAGAAGAATCGAATGAGCCAGCGGTTTGCCTTCTCTGGGCCCCACTCCATGCTGTAGAGAATCGTGAAGAAGCCAGAGCTCAGGACAGCAAGAACCACGAGACACCAGGCTACGCATCTGCAGCCACCGGGCCAAGGGCCCCTCCACGAGCTCTTCTGGCCTGGAGGCCGCTCACTCTCCGAGCGGCTGTTGCGGAATATGAGCACGACCACGAGGCTGACAGGCACCTCCACCAGGCTGCTGAGGAGGCTGATTAGGACGTCGGTGAGAGACAGCGGCCCCACCGCGACCCCGCCTCCCGCCTCGTTGGCCGCCTGCTTCTTGCCGAACCACATGGCATTGACGATCATCATGAGGAAGAGGAGTGTGATGCAGCAGGAGATGCGATGTACACGGGAGAAGTTGGTCTTGAATGGGCGGATGAAAACAGAAAACCTTGGGAGGGAATTGGAGAGGTTGAATGGAAAACTTCTACATTTAACTTGATCATGATAATCCCCTGCCATTGCTTTTATGTTTTATTTTAATTGTAGAAATATTTACCACATCAAGGGGCCAGTATTGTTTTTATTATCATAAAGATAATATTTCACCTGTAAGACAGTTCTGCCAAGAGACTTCAAGACGGTATGTGTTAAATCAAGTCTCAGTGGCAGTAGATCAACGAAGCGGCTTAACATGTGGATATTTATGGCAGCCAAATCTTATCTAAAAAAGTAACTAGCGGAAAGTATCCGGCGTTGCCCGGGTAAAAAATATATTTCAAAACTTCTCTTAAAAACCTTACATATACATACTAAGGTATTGTGAAAGCCAAGTAGGCCGTTCGTCCATTTCTCCATGAACAAAATTATGAGAGGCTTGCAGAAGTCTAAAAAGATATAAAAAGTGGGAGGTAAATGGTTGATCTAAAAGGTTACCCAAAATTGTCGACCCACTCCTCAAAAAATATATTTACCCCCGCGTAGGTATATATACCTACACACCCTACATATGTAATGGGTTCCAGAGACACTTGTAGAGGTAACTTCTTTATTACGATACACCACTCCAACAATACTCTGACACAGCCTACTCCTAGCGTGCCTGACTCTGGCTATGCTCTCGGGTCCTCCGGCTACAATTACCCTCGGGGAGGCTACTTGACCCGACCCAGCCAAGGTGCGGGTCTAGACTCTGGCTTCCTTGGAACTCGCCCTTACAAGGACGTAGAGCCGGGAGTCCCAGAGTCCCACCACTGGCCCGCACAGCATCCCGGCCCTTACAAGGACAAGCGGGACGAGGCGGTCCAGGGTCCTAAGCTGGCTGGTCTTGGGTCTTGAGCTGCGACTGGTCCCGATCGGCTGGGGAGGTCCCCTTTTATGGCCCTTTGCGTGGGATCCTAGATCCCCCGCAGCCCCCCCCCCCCCCCGTTGGTGGCACCGAGGGGATTAGCTGTCTGGGGTCGCACTCGAGGGGTGGTGTTGTGTGGGATTGTAGGTCCCCCGCAGCCCACCCAGATGGACCTCGTCCACCACTGCCGGTAAGCGTGGCCCATCTATGACACTACACATACAACAGAGTAAAGAGTATCTATTGACTCTTTAGTTGTATCCACTGACTATACAGTAGTATCTACTGAGCCAGTAGTAGCTACTGACTGTATAGTAGTATCTTCTGACTGTAGCAGTATTTACTGACCGTAGTGGTATATACTGACTGTTTTAGTATCTACTAACTCTATATAGCAGTATCTACCAACTCGATAGCAGTATCTACTATCACTACAACAGTGCATACCGACTGTGGTGTAACCTGCTATCACCACAGCAGTGCATACCGACTGTGGTAGTACCTGCTTTAACTAGAGCATTGCATACCGACTATGGTGGTCCCTGCTTTAACTACATCAGTGCATACCGACTGTGGTGGTAACTGCTTTCACTACATCAGTGCATACCGACTTTGGTGGTACCTGCTATCACTATAGCAGTGCATATTGACTGTGGTGGTACCTGCTTTCACTACAGTAGTGCATAATGACTGTGGTGGCACCTGCTATCACTACAGCAGTGCATACCGACTGTGGTGGTACCTGCTTTCACTACAGCAGTGCATACGGACTTTGGTGGTACCTGCTTTCACTACAACAGTGCATACAGACTGTGGTGGAACCTGCTATTACTACAGCAGTGCATAATGACTGTGGTGGTACCTTCTATCACTACAGCAGTGCATACTGACTGTGGTGGTACCTGCTATGACTACAGCAGTGCATACCAACTTTGGTGGTACCTGCTTTCACTACAGCAGTGCATACCGACTGTGGTGGCACCTGCTTTTACTATAGCAGTGCATACTGTCTGTGGTGGTATCTGTTATCACTACAGTAGTGAATACCCACTGTGATGGCACCTATTATCACTACACCAGTGCATGCCAACTATGGTGGAACCTGCTATCATCACATCAGTGCATACCGACTGTGGTGGATCCTTCTATCACGACATCAGTGCACATCGACTTTGGTGGTACCTGCTTTCACTACAGCAGTGCATACCGACTGTGGCGGTACCTGCTATCACCACACCATCCTTCCTGCCGTTTGGCTGTTATCTCCGACTCTCTGAGTTGCATTGCCCTGTGGAATGCCTTTGCATTAACGGGCTGGGGTCTCACTAACATGGCCACTTCTGCTCCCGATGTATCGATGGTTATTACTGTTTTATGGGATGTGTGTCTCACTGGCATGGCCACTATTGCGGTGGTTCTCTTGCGTTGACGCGCTTGCCTCTCACAGCGCAGGCCTGGCCACAGCTTGTGCTACACATAGACTTGACATTAACTTGCTAATCTCCCTAATCTCTCTCCATAATCTCTCCCCTTAACATAGTGCTAATCTCCCATTAACACTACTGCTTGGCGCATGTGCGGCGACAGTGCTCTCGTGCAGCAACGGAAGCTCATTTACTTTGACATGCTAATCTCTCTCCTAATCTCTCTCTCCCTAATCTCCCCCATTAACACAACTGATGTGCTTGCGTGCGGGGATGGGACTCGTTCCAGCTTGGACCTCGCTTTCTTGCCCTTGAGCTACACCCCCCTTAAACATATAAACCCCTTGTTGTAGCAGCTCTCCCGCTGTGTTCTCCCTAGTTCAGCAGTTTTACTGCTGGGTTCTGTTTCGCCTGATGACGATCGCTTGTATTGCGATCGCAACGTCGTGATATATTATTTTATTTAAATTTTCTACCTAAGTGACTTTACTGAAAGAACCAAAGAGTACTATAAAGTTGGTAGATACTACCATAGAGTCAGTAGATACTACTATAGGCAGATTCCACTACAGTCAGTATATGCTGCTGCAGAGTCAGTAGTAACGACTATAGCGTCAGTAGATACTGCTATAGAGTCAGCAGATACTACTGTAGAGTTAGTAGTTACTACTATAGAGTCGGTAGATACAACTGTAAGGTCAGTAGATACTACTATGGTCAGTAGTTACTACAATAGAGTCAGTAGATACTACTATAGAGTAAATATATACTATTATAGAGTCCGTAGATACTACTGTAGAGCCAGATACTACTGTAGAGTCAGATACTACTATAGAGTCACTAGATACTACTCACTATTGTATGTAGGGTGTTTATGTATATATGCCTACGTGGGGGTAAAAACATTTTTTGAGGGGGGGGGGTCGAAAATTTTCAGAAACCTTTTAGATGAACTATTTACCCCCCACTTTCTATACATTTTTGGACTTCTGCAAGCCTCTTATAATTTTGTTGACAGACAAATTAATCTCATGGCGGGACCCCAGGGTCCCATAAACTGTGTTGCAACGTCATTTTATGACTACAACATTAATCCTCGCTGCGCTTGGACGACATGACAACAGAATGATCCGCGGCAGGTAGGTCGCTGCATTTATGTGCGTGGTGGGACCGAGTCGCCAAAAATAAAATAACTAATTACGATTTTGACATCTGTTTATTCGGGACCCCGGGGTCCCGCCATTAAGGTTCAAATGGACAAAAGGCTTTCACAATAGCTTAGTATTTATGTATGTATATGTTATGTTTTTAAGATTTTGAAATATTTTTTAAGGTTTTGAAATATCTTTTTCCCCCGGGAAACGTTGGGTACTTCCCGCTAGTAACCTATTTTAAAAAATTGTGCAATTCCTGTTTTGGTATCATAAACAGAAGTCAAAATTTTCACTCCTCTGTTCCTGTGGATACGAAGAGAACTGATGACCAACTATCTTTTTCAAGATATGAATATATTCACTGGCATTTCCACAAAGTGTATAATTAAGTAGTGAGATTTTAAATTAGCCATTCGCCTTTGCTTTATGCCAAAGACCATGCAGATGGTTTTCTTGATATTGATCATTATTTTTACCTTTGAACTCACTTTTGTATGATATTCAAATCTGTAATTTGACCATCAAATTAGTGACTTTTTCAAATGGTATTAGTCTACGACCACATTATGGTAACAAACGCATGAAAACTAGAAAAACTGCATGCTTTAGGTCCATCATAACACAAGGATGCAGATTTTTTTTTTAATAAACGAACAAGACTTTTGTTAACTTTGAATATGCAACTACAAAAAGGTTTATATATGCAGCCAATTATATATATTTTTGAGACTAGTAGGCATGCAGTATACTGTGCTTATATGCTTTTCAAAATTTATTGTAGATTATATTTCAACTTAAATTTCATGAGAAAAATGTATGAACTCTTTTTACTTACCAAAGGTGACTGTCCGAAAAATTACCCTTTAAGGCTGTATTCACCAGGAGCTTATTAGAAAATAGAAAAGATTCATCTCTAACCTTGAACATTTTAGGATAATAATTAATGTTAAAACGTGAGGATGGCAACGAACTATCCACAAAGAAATATCTGTAAAAAAGAAACCTAAAATTACTCTTGACCGTTAGATATTTTAGTGGGCGACAACAATGTAATTAATTAAAAATTGTAAGCATTAATTTTTAGGTGCCACTAGTACAATAAAGCTGAGAACACATTTTGTTTCAGTTGCAGTCACCATTTTCTATTGTATAGTACTCACACATGTTCATTTTCCTGGTCAAACACGGACAGTTCACTGATGTTCCAGCAATCACAGGGATTGTTGCCTTTGAGCCATAATTTAATATGAGATGGTGTTCCATAGTTTTCAGGCATAGAGAATATGAAGTTATATGTTATGCCTGTTTCAAATTCCTAAAAAATACAAAATTTTACAGCAATGTAATGGTCATAATTCAGAAATTGTCCACTCCAAGCACTGCTTTTATTGACGATGGCTTTTGATGGCACCTCACCATATCTTCTTCTGAATACAACAACTTTTGACCAGTTGTTGTTCATTTGACAAGTTCTGATTTCAGAGTATCCCTTCATCTGCCTTTAGGTTTTTCCATTAGTTATTGACCTTTGGGTAACCCAGTGCCTGTTTAAGTAAAATGTCCTCCTCTATCCTGCATTATTTGGCCACATACTCTTATTGCAATCTTCTTTTCCTAATTACATTCACAATGATTGACATGCTCTCTCACTAAATTTGAATTCCTTGCCCCCATCCTGCTTGCAATTCTTGGCACCCTTTCCAGGTCCTGGTGTTGATGGACAGGGGTCTGCAGCTGTGGCCCCAAGGGCCCTGGGGAGGTGTCTCTCATGGAAGAACTTCCCTGAGGTTCTGTGAAACCCTTTAAAGAAAACCCAGCTACAAACCTTTATATTTATAGATTAAAACAAAAAGAATACAAAATATAGCTCCTCAACACTTTTGGGTGGCCCAAAATATGCAATAAAAGTTTTTTTTTTTTTTCAAATGATTCTCCTAACTGGATCCAGAAACCTTTATGATTTCCAGATACAAAAATTTCTGGGCCTAAAAAACAAACAAGCTGAAAAAGAATTGCGCCTCAATGTTGGGTTGGCGAGGGAAAAAAATTACAACTTTGAATTTAAACACACAATGTTATATTTCGATTCATCACCCTTTAAGATCTCCCTATGAAAACTTTCATAGGCCTAGGTTCCAAACATAACTTATTTTACTCTCAATTTTGGTGTAGGCAGAGAAAACCTTGAATCCATAAAAATCACCACCTCTGTCATTGGCACTTCCATACAGCAGAACAGTATACAGTAGGGTATTGACAAAACCATGGCTGATTAAATACAGGCTGTCTCCAGTTTACCACAATCTACATTTAGCACGTTTATATAACTGTAGAGTCATTGATCATCGGGCTAGAGGTCTCTGTGTTGGCAACGGAGGGGCGTTGTTTATGAGTCACTGTCTATCTCAATCACTATCTGTTCATGCTAGGACCGCTCTTCCCCTACACCTTGGACAAAGGTTTTTAGGTCAAGTCACTCCAAGTTGGAGGCCTATGTTTTTTCCTAAAGTACGAGGTTCATTGCTGATCGAATACACAGTGGTCCCCAACAGAAGTATGGAAATGACCGTGCCCTAGCCCATGGGAACGACCGCTGACTGGTGCTGGCAAAATCCCGTACGACTACTTGCCTATCGCTAGTGAATCAGGGAGTTAGAGCCCAGAGTGGGCATATACCAGGAAAGCCGAGGGACATAGAGTGGATGTTTGTGGACGAATGGGTTCTCGTGCCACTGTGCCATGTAGACTCGGTTGAGTCACCCCAGAAAGTCCCTCTATGCCCAGCCAAACCCGAAGTGAGAGATTAAAAGTTACACAGTCTGTGTCGTCTTGGTCTTCATATTGTTGTTGGTGCATTGTGGGTATGCAAGTGACTGTTGTAGTGGTAGTGTAGCGGTTAGCGTGCTGCGCTACGAAACTGGGCCTCCCCTAGGTCGACTCAGTCTCAAATGAGTAGCTGGTGAGATGTGTAACATCACCACTCGGGAGACAAAGGTGGCCGGACGTGGTGTTGGCCACCCAACTCCTCGTGTGTTGTGGCAGCCTTTATAGGTGCTCGCTAACAGCACTTGCCCCAACAGTCTGTTAAGGCTATACTGGGGATGTTTGCCTTTGTTGTTAAGCAGGAAGGTGTGAGAGAGCTCGGCCTGAACATAACCTCAGTTTAGAAAATTCTCCCTGCCGCCAGCGAGGAATGCATAGGGTCTTCACCCCGAGGAGCCGTCTCCCTGAGCCGTGGGAAGGCAGCATAACCTCGGGTTGAGGGGGTATTGGTGGGTGTGTACGTGGGGCAAGGAGCCAACTTGGCCATGCTCACACCGCTCGCAGAGGAGCCGCCGCTGAGTAGTTTCGTGCACAAAGCGGAACCCCTCTTTCCGCTGAGACGAGGCACAGCCCAATATAACCAGAGTTCGCAAAAAGGCGGGAGCAGTGCAGATTCGCCATGGGTGTAGCACGAGGGGCTCAATTTAGGCCGTGCTCACATCGCGCGAAAAGGGGCCACCGGCGAGGGCTTTGTATTATCCACAAAGCGGTTCCCCCTTTATCAGACGAGACCAGACACAGCCCAATATAACCACACCCGCCCCGCCAGATGTTGCGGAAAGGCGGGAAAAGTAGATTTGCTGTGGGCGTGAGGGGCCGACCTTAGGTTATGGTCACACCACCCCTGTGAAGAGATACACATATAAACATACCCACCCGTGGGTAAGGGTACCTATAGGTACATACACGCATAGATGTACACACCTAAAGCGACAGTTGCACGGGCGCCTCCAACTCAACAACGCAAGGGGTGGAGTATTAACCCCTGGGTGAGGTCGTGAGGTGCGAATTGGTTGCCCAGCAGGGGCGTGGGATGACAAACTGGTGGCGCACGCTGGTGCACTCAGAGAAGAACCCTCCAGGAGAGCGTTGCTCAGAGAAACCACTGTCCTGTACAGGGGACGCGGAAACTGAGGAAGAGATGGAGGCCTGCCAGGGGCGGGCCCGTCGAGTTCGCAGCCAAGCCCGGCGGCATGGTAGAGGGTCATGCGATTCGCCCCCAGAGGAGTTGCTAGCGGAGACTAGCGATGATGGCACACGAGGGCCTGGCAGTGGACGGAGCTGCGCCTGGCCGGCAACAGCAATGCCAGCAAGGTCTTGGGTGGAGTTGGCCCACCAATTCCCCCACCCTGCTCGCATCGGCTTTTCGTCACGTGACATAACGCCATCATGAATCGATTTACGACACAGAAACTTTATTTACGACGCATCTTCCGACATGATTGAACACATTTGAAAAGCGTCAATCTGGTTCCCAATATGACTTGGGATTGAGCTTTTCTTATTCCCGTGTTTTTGTGATTACCTATAAAAGCCTGTTAAATATGGCTAGTAAAAAGAAAAGCACATCGGCAACTGATGTTTTTGCTGTTTCAACTGTCTTATAGGAACATAGGGTCCGATTTACGACAATGTTTCCAGGAACGCAAAGTGTCTTAAAAGCAGGGACCATCTGTACTTTGTATGAGCATAGATTAGAGAAGTGGAGAGTTATTTTTTCTGCGTGTGCATTTACAGCACTGCCAAAGCAGCTTGGTTTTAGCTTTTATTAATTATGTATAACCAACGAATATGCATCCCATTTACACAGCACCTGGTTAAAGGTATAAGTCCGCTATCCATATAGTTTATTGGTAGTAAGCAGAGCTGTCAACTGAAAATTGTATGTAAACAAAAATGCATTTGAAATTACCTTTAAATCTGGGTGAGCGAGTTCCCGTGTACCGAGTTCAGACTCGTGAAAGTACAGGTTGAAATAGGCACAGGACTGAGTACCAGAATCCTCTTCTGACACTGTTTTCACTCGTAGTAAGAGCCAGCACTTATTGTCTCCATCGAGGTCCGATAGATAAAACACTTTGTTCTGAAGGAAATAAAAGCAAGAATTGTGATTCAGTGCTACCCACGTATAGAAGCTAGTTACAGTATATACCACTATTTACTTAAATACAAAAAATAAGTGTAAAATACTCGTGCAATTATATGATACGATGCAAATCTTAAACATTACATTTACCTTATCTTGATCTTGTATGTCTTGGTTTCTTGCCCACAGCAGCACGATGATATAGAGCAAGACGATGACAGTGACAGTCGCAAAAACGGCACCGTTTGTCTCCAGGTCAAATTTTGTGAAGACACTTGTAAAATCAATAAGGTTTGGTGTCAAAAACTCTGCTGCAATAAATACGTTTTGTTGACCAAAATTTATATCACCAGCGCTCTGGTTTCCACCAACCACACAGACTGTCATATCACGTGTGGAGTTTGGGTGAACCTGTTCCCAGATATCACCACAATACTGAATTATTGCACATATTCCGATACAGATATCACTCTTCACGTGAAAAATGTTGCAGTTATTTAAACAATTGAAAAAAATCAGTCGCACGTGATAGAGACAGCGAGTAACCACTGCTTCCGATACAAATGTCTCCTCCGATTCTTGGAAAAGATTTTAAAATAAGACGTGGCATATAAGAGATAATTGACTATTATCCAAACTTGGCATTTATGTTTTATGAACAGGATTAGAAGCAATCTGGTGACATGTAATGAATAACAAAGTAGATTCGGCCCGTACAATTAAAAATCCTGCTGGAAATGTTTACTTCCAGAGCCTACTCCAGCTCAAGTGTACCAATATGAAATCATAATGATAATCGATCTTATATAGAAAACCTGGTAAAATGATATATTGTTATAAACGTACCTGTGCCGAGGTGTATTTCCACTCGTTAACGGAGATGTCCCTCGATTTGCAAGCTAATGTCCATGCGTTTATTTTGACTTTTTTATTAATGACAAGCTTTTTGTCACTGCCTGCAAAATAACATGAAACATAAGGAGAAATGAGTGCGAATTGCAATGCAATAATGTTGTTGTGCACAGAAAGTATATTATGTAGAATACTAGCAGGAAGTACTTGGCTTTGCCAAACGGAAAATATTTTTCAAAACGTGTCTTTTCTTAAAAAAACATAACATATACATACACAAATACCAAGCTATTGTGCAGAAGTCCTGAATTAAAAAGTAATAGAAAGTGGGGGGTAAATAGTTGATCTAAAAATGTTCCCAAAAATTGTCAATCCTCCCCCCCTTAAAAAATGTTTTACCCCCCAGCCAGTTTTTATTTTGTAGACATATATACCTACACACCCTACATACAATAGAGTCAATAGTATCTCGTGACTCTATAGTAGTATCTACTGACTATAATAGTAGCGTCTGACTGTAATAGTATCGACTTACTATAGTAGTGTAGCGTCATAAAAGATGTCGCTATAGGGAAGCAGTACCAGGTAAGGGGTGTACTGTATGTGTGGAGCCCCTCCTCGTATTCAGGGGGAGGGGCTCGGCGAAGGGGAGAGCGGGGGCCACGCCAGAAGGGGTTGAGGGCGGGGGCTGGAAGGGGTTCGGGGTTTTTGGTGGCGGAGCGAGCGGGAGACCATGTGCCAAGATGAGGACGGCGAAGAATCTGTCCCACAAACAGCCCCGGGGTCGGCAGCTCCGGAAAGGGGGAGCGAGGCGATGCTACCGGCGGAACAGCAGGACGCCCGCTGCATATTCGCTTCGCCACCGTTGGCGAGAGAGCGCCGGTCGTGTCGCGCCCGCATCACCGAGCTTCTGGTGGCTGCAGCGGCGCTGCTCACCGGGCTCAACGAGGAGGAGCCACCTGTAGAAGTTGGGGTGCCGGAGGCGCAGGAAGTCGAGCCGGCTGCTGCTTTCCACGCGGGAATCTCCTGCTGTGCAGCCCTCACGCGCGGCTACCATTTTGGCGCCCGGGCGGGAAAATGAAACTCCTGCCAAAATGGAACTCCTGCCAAAACCGCCTGTGGAGCTCCGTCACCCAAGTACCGGTTGCCGTTCTTTAAGGAGTTTACAGCGGCGGGAGGTGATTGGGACACTTTCCAGCACCGCTTCAAGGTAAACTGTGATTTAGCGGCCTGGACGGAGGCGGAAGCGCTGCATACACTTCCCGCCTCCTTGGACGACGACGCCTTGGCAGCGTTCTGCACTGTCCTACCGGCGGAGAGGGCCGTGTTGCCGATGGCCTTCGCGCAGATGGCATCAATTTATGATCTGCCATTGAACGTTCATTAAAAGTTTGCCGCGCTCAGGCGGGGGGAGGCCGAGACACCTCTTGCCTTCCACAGCACTCTGTTGGCACTGGCGCAGGTGGCTTTTCCGAAGATGGAACACGACGGGATTGACTCCTTAGTTTTATAACGTTTATAAGCTTTGGCGATGAAACGTTGCCCTGCCAGCTACAGAAGACGACGATTTAACATCACTCAATATTGCACAGTGCATTCAAGCACACTGCAATCTACGATGACGCACGCAAGTGGTGGCGTGCACCGCACCATCTGAGGGTTTCGGTGTACCCGAAGAGGCTGAGTCCACCCAGGCCTGTGCTGCAGTCGACGGGGGTGGTTGGCAGAGGGAGAACATGGAGCGATGAGGGGGATGCAACTGGCGGCGAGGGGCCTTCTCTCGTCAGGGGTGTGGCCCCATCCGCTGCTACAACTGCGGTCTGCCGATGCACGTCGCATCAGGATGCCGCGCCACAAGAGGACTCTCCGGGCCATCTTCGCCATCTCCACGGACCCCCTGAACTCCGTCTGGCCCTAAGGCGAGTCGTGGTACACCTCACACTCTACCCATGTAAACACCTCATTCATCGCGTTCGGGCGTCGGGCACTCTCGCCGGGGCGCGGGGTGGGTAGTTGTGATTCCGCCGGGAGATGGCTGGTTACACCGTCCTGGTCAGTGGTCGGAGTTGGCCCACCAGGTGGTTGCTGCGGTGGTGGGATCGTCAGTTGTTGTTGGAACGATAGAGGGGGTGGAGGTACGTGTGCTCGTTGACACATTATTTCGGAATTGGTTTACAATATTCTGCCCTAGAAATGTCGTTTCCCTTGTGGCCCCATGTTTCACCGCCAATGGCGGGTCATTGGGCATTATTGGCCAGATCTCGGCTGAGGTGTCTATTGCTGGCATTAAATTAATGGGGTCGGTTCTGGTTTCGACATCCCTGGCCATACCCTGTCTGCTGGGGACAGATTTCCTGGGAAAGATGCCCCTACGGATCCTTTTTGACCAAGAATGTCTTGAGTTACCGTCGGGCCATCATGTCGCCTTTCTTTTATCCCCTACTCGATTGTGCACGGCTAACGCCATGGTCCAGGCATTGGCAAGTAGAACGGTTAAAATCCCCCCCGATATGCAAATGCTTGTTCTCTTACTGCTGCGCAAACAGCTTGACTGGGAAGCGACCGCGGGAGGGATCCTGTTGGGACCATCGAATAAAGTAAGTCAGGGCTTGACGCTCTTTGGGGCTCAAACGTTGGTTTCTAGCAACCAAGAGCCTGTTATTCAAATCATTATCGCCGGGTCAAAGGTGTTGGTTGTGCAAGCGGGCATTGTACTGGCCCACACATAGGCTGCGAGGGAAACATCGTTGGTGGCAAGGGAGTCGTGGCGGCTATGGAGCAGAAACAGAGTGATGATGACGACTGGATGGATGTACTCTGCTCTGGAAACCTCGATTTGTCTAACGCTCAGAGGAAGCAGTTGCATGCGCTTTTACGATAATTTTCTGATGTTTTCAGTAAAAGTAAATTTGATATTGGCCGCACCATTCTCTTAAGCCACCACATCGATTCGGGTAATGCCCTTCCCATTCGGCAAAATCCTTATCGGTTAAGCCCCACAGAAAAAGACCATGTGTGGCAGGCAGTCGACGAAATGTTGGCTGCAGATGTGATATCTCCATCCACCAGTCAGTGGGGAGTGCCTATAGTGCCTGTTTAAAAACATGATGGGAGCTTGCGCTTTTGCGTCGACTTCCGCAAGCTTAATAAAATCTCCGTGGAGGATGCGTACCCCCTTCCGCGAATGTATGATTCATTTGATGCTCTGGAGGGGGCGTGTTTTTTTTCGACACTGGATCTGTTATCGGGATTCTGCCAATTGCCTTTGGATGAATGCTCAAGGCCTAAGACCGCCTTTCGTATATTCCAAGGGTTATTTGAGCTTAATCGGCTTCCAATAGGTCTTCACTCGGCACGGCGACGTTTCAGAGGCTCATGGGACTCCTGCCTCATATATCTCGACGACACCATTGTGTTTAACCGCATGTTCGAGGAGCATTTGGCATAATTGCGCGCGGTTTTTATTAAGATGCAAGCGGCTAATCTGAAATTTATGCCGCAGAAATGCCACCTGCTGTAAAAGTCCCTTGAATACTTGGGGCACATCATTAGCAAGGCGGGAATAGCAACGGACCCGGATAAAACTGCGTGCGTACGCAGCTTTATCGGGTTTGCGTCCTATTATTGGCGCTTCATACCCGGGTTCGCCTCTATTGCAAAATCACTCCACGTCCTGATGGCCAAAGGCCAAAAATTCCGCTGGGGGGAGGAGGAGGCCACATTTGTTGTGCTCCGGGAATGCCTGGTGAACGCCCCTCCCCTCCGATACCCCGATTTTCCGCTGCCCTTCATTCTTGACAACGACGCCAGCAACTCCAGAATTGGTGCCGTGTTGTCCCAAATTGTGGACAGGGTAGAGTGTGTCGTGGCATATGGCAGCAGAGTGTTGTCCCCTGCTGAGCAGCGCGACTGTGTCACGCGCCGTGAACTGCTGGCTATAGTTTTTTGTGTGTAGCTATATTGATTGTACCTGTATAACAGGCGTTTTGAGGTGTGCTCCGACCACACCGCCCTCCAGTATGCGCTACACATTGATCAACCATCTGGCCAGCTCTCACGATGGTTGGAAGTCCTCCAGGAATATTCGTTTAACGTCTCTTACCATAAGAGTGCGTGGCACACAAATGTGGATGCGCTATCACGCTTACCACTGAGCGACGAGAGTGCGTGTCTCTCTGGTTCGGGTCGTTGCAAGCCATCCGCCGAGGCAGTGCCTCCTCCTGTGGTGGCGGTGGTGGAGGTTCAAACCCCTGACAATTCCAGGATCCTGACGTGTGTGATGCCACCCTCGGCCTCAAACATACTGAGTGGGGACGCCTCCATGCGGAAGACTCCTCCTTATTTAAACTGTGGCGCCATATCAGGGAGCCTGGGGGGGGCAAAACCCCATGGGGTGCCTCCAGTTATCCTCAAAGGGGGACTCTTGATGCACTGGGATGTTGGGTTGCACCATTATAGCATTGTGGTGCCCACTGTCCTCAGGGGTAAGATCATCTGGGCGGTGCATGAGAAGCTGCTGCACCTTGGCGTGCACAAAATGCTTTCAACCTTCAAACTCAACTTTTTTTGACCAGGAATGTCAGGGGATGTGAGTGATGTGCTGAAGGAGTGTGTGCAATCCATTCGCGTATTCCGTATTAACGAGCTCATCGCGCTTGACGTTCTTGGGCCATTTCCGACCACACCGCGAGGAAATAGATATTTATTGGTCAGGGTGCAATATTTTTCCCGCTTGCTGATGGCCTGGCCGCTTCCCAACCAGTCGGCTGCGTCTATCACGGAGGCGTTTCTCCATGGCTACGTGTTGGACAAGGGGGCCCCGGAGCACCTCCTCACTGATCAGGGGGGAAAAATTTCATTTAAATTATTACGCGAAATATGTGACTCATTGAGCACGAAAAATGTTCAAACGTCACCCTATCATCCCCAGACAGACGGGATGGTGGAGCGACTGCACAGAACCTTAACTTCAATGTTGAGTCAGCAGGTCAGTGAGTCTCAGACGTTCCTGGGGTTCTCTGGCATACAGGATGGCTCCACACGCTTCTACCAGCTACTCGCCGTTTTTTATGTATGGGAGGGAGCAGGAACCCCCGATCGAGGTTCAACTGAACACGGGCCTGAATAAGACTAAGGCTAACATGCCTGAGCCCATGTGTCTTACCCTTCAGAGGATGTCAGAGGCACGGGAGACTTCCAGGGAGAATTCGGCCTTACGGCAGTCGGCCAATGAGCGGCTAAGGGGGCTTCGGCTATCCGGCAAAACATGGGCTCAGGGTGATAGGGCTTGGTTGCACTGCCCTCAGGTTCCTGTGAGTATCTTTCCCAAGCTTTACAAACCTTGGCGAGGGCCGGTTGACATGATTCAGGCCGACAGGCCGTAATGTGTTAAAATTCGATTTGGTTGCCAGTGTTGGTTTGTGCACCCCTCGCGCCTTAAGCCTTTTGTTGCTCCGTGAGAAATCCTTTCATCCCCATTACATATAGGTCGAGTGTCGGGTGTTCCCGACGAGCTGAGGCATGCATCCAGGGGGGGGGGGGGGTGATTCTCAGGAAAGTCCCACACCTAACACTTCGGATGAGCGGCACAACCGCGGGAGGAGCCGCACCCAGCAGACCATCGTCAAACTTCCCCCGGGACCTCCAGGGAGCCCAGGCCTACCTTCCCAGGGGGCCCGGCATAGCGGACTCGTTCTAAGACTCCCCTAATTAAATGACTCGCCCATCCATGCTGGCCCAACCCGCGCCATCGGTGCTCGTCTCGCATACGGGGGGAGGGGATGGTAGGCGGGGAGGATAATCCGGGTCGTGTGTATATTGCTATATTTTTTTGTTTTGTTCCTGTTATTGATCTTCAATTTCTCTCTTCCGCCCCTCCCCCCCACCTCGTAAACTGTATATACGGTATTTATTATTCGGTCGCCGGTTATTTATTGTTGGGGGACACTATTGGGTTATGGGCTGTTGACAGCCGGGACGGCTGGAATTTTACAAAGGGGGGGGGGGGGTGATATAGCATCATAAAAGATGTCGCTATAGGGAAGCAGTACCAGGAAAGGGGGGTACTGTATGTGTGGAGCCCCTCCTTGTATGCGGGGGGAGGGGCGCGGCGAAGGGAAGAGCGGGGCCACGCCGGAAGAGGTTGAGGGCGGAGGCCGGAAGGGGTTCGAGGTTGTTGGTAGCGGAACGAGCGGGAGTGATTTGGTAGCCGGGGCGTGGGACTCGGGGCTTGAGGAGAAGATCGTAGTTTCTGACAAAAGGTGTAGATATAGTTAGCCGGGACTCACCCCCTTTGGTCATTCTGCGTGTTATTGTGTTAATAAACGTGTTGCCTGCAGAGAAGGTGTGCGCCTCCATCATACACTACAGTAGTATCTATGGACTATAGTAGTATCTACTGACTCTATATTCGTATCTGCTGACTGTAGTTTTACCTACTGACTGTACAGTAGTATCTACGGAATACTGTAGTAGCTACTGACTATAGTAGTATCTACTGACCGTGGTAGTATCTACTGACTGTAGTAGTATCTACTGACTCCACAATAGTATCTACTGACTGTATAGTAATATGTACTGACTACAGTAGTATCTACTGACTATAGTAGAATCTACTTATTGTATAGTATTATCTACTGACTCTAAAGCAGTATCTACTTACTCTATAGTCGTATCTACTAACGCTGCAGCAGTATATACTGACTGTCGTGGTATCTACTGACTGTAGTAGTATCTACCGACTCTACGGTAGTATCTACCAACTCTATGGTAGTATCTACCGACTCTATGGTAGTATCTACCTACTCTATAGTAGTAACTACTGCCTCTAGAGTAGTATCTAATAACTATAGTAATATTTACTGAATCTATAGTAATATTGATTGACTATAGTAGTATCCATTGACGATAGCAGTAACTACTAACCCTATAGTTGTATCTGCAGACTCTACAGCAGTATCTGCTGACTATAGCAGTATCTACTGACTCTATAGCAGTATCTACTAACTATAGTAGTATCTACTGACTATAGTAGTATGTACTGACTATAGTAACTACTAACTCAATACTAACTCTATAGTAGTATTACCGACTCTATAGTAGTATTTACCGACTCTATGGTAGTATCTACCGACTCTATAGTAGTATCTAATGACTATAGTTATATCAACGAAATCTATAGTAGTATATTTTGACTCTATAGTAGATTTACTGACAACAATAGTATCTACTGACTCTATAGTAGTAACTGAACATATTGGGGTGGGGGGGGGCAGAAGAGGACATCACGCTGTTCAGGATTTACCTCAGTGTTGTGCTTCTGTTTTTTTGTGTGTTTTTAACATGAAGAAGAACTTCCCTCCCTGTCACCACTCAGCGAGCTCGTGTGCATTGCTATGGGCAACCGCGTGTCTACGCATGCGCAGATGCGTGCTTTGGTGCCACGATCAGTTAAAAAATAAAAAAGTTTGTTTTGCATTACATTATATTTCCAAAAGATTTGGTAAATTTTGTTTTCTCAAACGATTTCTCTCTCTAAAATGTACCAGGCTCTCATAGGGCCATTCGATTTTTTTTCCCTAAGTTGCTTCGGGGTGGATTCATTGACATGCTGATTTCTCTGCTCCAGCAGCTGCCCCAGCAGACTCACCTCTCTCTCTCTCTGCCCCCCCCCCCCTCTCTCTTTATGTAAGGCCTCGACACAGAGGCATTGGGTCTCTGTGTGTCTGAGTTGTGTGTCTCTCTCTGTGTCTGTGTTGTCTCTTTCTGCTTGTGTGTCTGTCTGTGTGTCTCCATGTCTGTGTTTCGTCTCTCTCAAATTTAGTTATACCTGATGATGGTTGCTTGTGTTGCAATCGAAACGTCGTATTCTATTATTAAATTTATTTTCTTTCTACGTGACTTTACCGAAAGAACCAAAGAGTATTTCCTGCAGTCACGAAAGCTTCAAATTAAGTTTGATTTTATTAGTTTATATTTGACCAAGGGCAAAAACATAGCGAGTTTTCGTTCAGGGGCTTAGTTTGTTGTCTGTATTTTGTGAAACGTAAACCCAACAGTTTGTCAGTTAAAAGCGTTACACGTCCACACACACACAAACATACAAAAAATTATGGTACTTTGAAAGGTAAGATATTTTTTACGCTTACCTGTATAGAGGGCAGCAATATGATAAACTCCTACCTGAGTTGCATTACTGGGAATGAAAAATCGAGGAAGAGCCTGAACACTATTCACCATCTTGTTTTTTAATCCGAATCCACCCGTGTTCAAAGACTGATGCAGTTTGTCACTTCCCGATGTGCTGGAATTCACAACAAAGCTGAAGTCATAGAGCAGTGGCTCAAACTCTGGCTGTTGTTCAAAGCGTAGTAAGAGCTCCACTTCATTCAGAATGTCACTGGTCGGTAGAAAATCCAACATTATGACCATTCCACTGTTTGCATTGACAAATGCTTTACCTTGCACAGTGTCGTTTGTGGTAAGTACTGGCAGTGAAATCTCCTGCCCTACAATTCTTTGATTTGTTACTTTGATTATTGCAGAGGTAACATTGATACGTTTTTTAGCAATGCTAATCTTCAAGCTGACCACCGAACTGTTCACGGGAGATTTCTTATCCCACAAAAATGGATTTTCTACAAATGAACATACCTTGAAAAGAGAACACATACAGTTCCTACATAAAAATATACACAAAGAGTATGTAAAAATACATTCCACTGATACTATCAAAATTATAGATTTCACATCAAATTAGTCGGCTTAAAATTAGTATTATCACTGGATATACTGGATAAACATAAACATATGTTAATGATTTGTACCTGGACATTTACTTTGTCCTTCAGCTGTAAAAATGTTGAACTATTGGTCCCAATAAGTGAAGCATCACTCCCATCTACTGTTTTCCAGGTTGAGTTGAGGAGGGCTTGCTCAGAAACTGTCTGCATCACTAGAGACATATTGTTACCATTTAACGTGACGGCCTTCTCTCCAGATACAGAATTTTTACTCTCCACTTCTCCAATCAGCAGCAATGTGTTGTACGCATTATCGAAGGTATTTTTCTGAGAAAAACCAAAAATGTTTACACATTTTAAAATCAGTGAATACTTAGCAGTGGAACAATGTGTACTCAGTTCAGAGATAACATACATTTTATTTGCACTTGCTAATTATGAAAATTATTCTATAACGTTATTGTTTTTTAATTATTATTTACTTTAGGGATACTGCCATCGTGTAATTTTCAGCACATTGGACCTGCAATCCCGAGGTCACTACTTTTGCGCTCCTGATGCAGCAGTTTAAAAAGTGGGCAAGGATGAGTGCCTTCCAGTTTTGGATAAGAGATATTTTAAAGTGGCAACATAGTTGCTGAGCGAATCACTAATTTTATGTAAAGCTGACTAAAGCTTTTCAGAAATAATGTTACTTAACTTATTGTATGACAGGAATTCGATATGTAAGATTAAATTGTCATAAAAGTAAACATAATAAGGATGAACAGACTGATATCAAAAGTAGTTACAATGAAGGGAGCAGCCACTGTATTTACAATTACAGCCTATTGCATGGGATATTTACTTGGCAACATTAATGGCAAAGGAGATATACAACAATGTAAGCAGAATAATAAATTTAGACTTAAAACTTTCGTGACTTCAGGGATTCATATTCTTGGTTCTTTCGGTAAAGTCACGTAAATAGAAAAAATAGAAGAAAAAAAAAGAAAAAACCCCACTATGAATAATACAATAATAAAATAACCACTTACCAAATATGAGTCATTTTTTGCAAAAGATGATATTTGGTTGTCGTTTACATCACTTTGTAAATTCAATTGCATCTGAAATGCATTTGCACCTATTTCAAAGATGTCTGCCAAATATAAAGACACAACTCAACCCAAGTCACAAAATCACAATTATTATTCCCTTCAAGTTACGTCTTTAGAAAAAGTTTAACTTTCAGTAATTGAAATACATTTAGAATCTGCAGTTGGTCATGCCAACATTGTTACTTTAATTGTGTATAAAATGCATACCAATTACCTGTAATGACCTTCGCTATATACTTCCTTTGCACATTTCTCATCACCTTCATTTGTTGCAAAATTGTTGTTGCAGTGTTGATTAAAGCATTCTAATATGGGACAGGCATATGAATTAATCAAATTGCTACATCACACAGTATATATTAAAGGAACATATCGGCTTACAGTGGTGCATGTGTAGAGTAGAGATGTACGCAGTGCGCACAGTTATTAAGGTTGAGAAGCGGGTGCAATCGAGGACGACCAGGTGTGCGCGCTGGGGCAGGAGGTTGGCGCAGGAGAGACGGGAAATGGGGGTGATGATAAGGAATTAATGAGTGCAACAGGCGCTGTGGAGGCGACAGCTTAAGTGGGGAGCGCGTGAGGACTCTGAATGAGGAGGGGTATATAAGCGGGAGTGTGCGTGAGCAAAGTGGAGTTGTTTGGGGACCAAGAGTGAAGACATCTCGCCGCTGCCGCTCGAGCCGTCAACGGGACCTCGCCCCTCACGCTGTCACCGGGCGGGTGTTGGCTGAACCCCCCCAGCCCGGGACAGATGGGTGAATGGGTACAGGGCAGCGTAGGAGAGGGCAGCGGTGCTATGGGAGAGAGTAGGTGAGGTGCGGAGGAGGTGAGGTGCAAAGTAGGTGAGATGCAGAGTAGGTGAGATGTGGAATAGGTGGGGTGCAGAGTAGTAGTAGAAGCAGAGTGTGTGGTGACAGTGGAAGGCAGTCATAGGAATGCCTGCAACGGGTGCAAGAGTAGGATTAATAAAGTGTAAGCAGGTGACCTGTTACTCCGTGTCGGTGTGAGTAATATCAAGACACTACACATGTATCACTTATACAGACCTGGTCACTTGGGCCTGAATATGAAACTATGGAATTCAAAGATGATGCCAGTTGAGAAATTGAGTTTTTATTCTGCAGGGGTACGCTGATCGACATCATTATCTTGATGAGCTCTTTCTGGAGCTAGTGAACACAAGCCAACACCCGCATTAACCACATGTACAGTCTCATCGTGGAACAACACATTGAGCACACTCTTCAGTTATTTAATCATGGACCCAATTCATGAAGGATTGTATTTTCTATTTACAAATGCTACTGGAAGAAAATTTCCTAAATAAAAAAATCGGAACAATTTATCGACAATTTGTATTTCCAATTTGCCAGGAGGAGTATTGGAGTGCAGTATATCAAGGTCAAGAGGTCAACACAACTAATATCATCTTTGCCATTCAGTTCTTATGCTTGATCCTACAGCAGATTGTATAATCGCTACCAGACCTCTGATGACTTCGGAGGACTATTCATAGCACCCAATTACCACCTCGGTTTTTCACCTGGTCGCTGTTCTCCACCACCTGCACACATACTCAACCCATGTAAACCCCCTCTGTGCTACTTAATCCCAGATGATGATGACGACCATCCTTTGACACTAAGTGACAGTGATTTGACTGTGGTGCTTGTGCTGTGTTCTCCTATGTCAGCAGTTCTCCTGCTGTATCTGTTCCACCTGATGACGGACGCTTGTGTTTCGCCCGAAATGTCGTGATTTATTTTATTTTATACCTACGGTGACTTTACCGAAAGAACCAAAGACTATGAATTCCTGCAGTTACGAAACCTTAAAATCAAGATTGTTAGGATTAGGTAATCCAATAGAAATGAAGAGTGTTCAAACACAGGAGGCGAATTCACGTCAACAACGCATATGTTTTGCAGTCAGTTGTATATTTGTGTGCATGTGTGTGTCAATATTAAAACATTGGCATTCACAAACTGAAAATATGAATTTAGATTTCTCAAGTACCTCATTTATTTCTGGATCCACTGATGTATTTTCTAAAGATGCAAACACTGTCAATAGGATCCCGGGCAGAAGGGCACTGCCCTGGAGCACCAGATCATTGATTTTGCCTCCAAATGCCAGCATTGCACGGGTATTGTTTTTCAGAATTTCCACTGAAGGACGCGTCACCTGTTAAACAAATTATATTGGCAAACATCGTACCAAGTCTTCCTCAATCCGTCAAAACATTTTTAAGAACATAGTTTACCAAGGTCTGACACAGTTACTCCTGAAACTTATAACCATTCTGCTAACTTGGTCTCTTAGCTTCTTAGGGATGCAAACATCCACGAATTGCTCACCAATTTAAAGCAGAGAAATAGCAATGTGAGATATTCTTTTTTTATGAACTAATTTTTTTTACCAGGTAGGGCCTCCTGAGCTATTTATCTATATTTCAGAAGCGACCTGGCCACAAATGACAGCTCAACGAAGTGGCTTATATTGACATTTATAGCAGCCAAATACTTTAAATGTTGGGTTGCAGCTACAGGAATGCTGAGGGTTTGGAGCACCGGGAGAGTGGGATCAAGATACTGAGGAGGTGGCGAGAGGGAAAACAGTGGAGGGGGAGGAAGTCATGTGCAGATGGGGCGATAATGACAGCGTGACCTAACCTAAATATAAATTATGAATAAAAAAAAAAACTGGCTGCCAAAACCAAAGTGTGAAGGATACCATGCGCTATTCATAATTTTACAAGATATGTTTATGACTCACGTTCACAAGTATTGATGCTGATGAACAAGCTCCAAAAGAATTGCACACATTAGCTTGGAGATCCAGTAACCCTTGGGCGTCCAGATCTCCCGCGGGCAACAGGAGATTCGGTGTCTGGTGAAGGTGCGTGCTGAATAGGTTGAACTCGGTGTTGCCGGACCTTGCCGTGTATGAATAGGAGAACGTCTCTTCAGCTGAACCGTCTTGCAGCCAGTTTTCACATGACAGCTTGAAGAACGTGACTCCCGCGATACCTGTTTAAAACGTGTCCACAGCATAAAGAATGGAACTCAACCATTTTATGGCTTGTGATGTCATTTCTATTGTTAGAACCGATACTATACTTTACATTCCTTTGCCAATTCACTGCTGCATAAAGGCCTCTTCACAGTACCTTGGTCATAGAGGATGTTCAACCATACTCCCAGTAAGTCCACCAGTAACATCTGGATCTGTCCCATGACCTGCCAGCGAGCCTAACAGTGCACCTAGCCTGTCATGAGCTCCGTGGTGACATCAAGGCCACTAAGTGGCGAATTGCGGTTGTTATTTAACCATACTTCACCATGCTGCTCAACCATACTTCACCATGCTGTTACCGGTTGAAGTGGGGGTGGGGGTGGTGGGGAAGGGTGGCGATGGGGGGAGAGAGCAGGGCCACTTTAGATCTCACTCGCCACTGACGTTAACAGATGGTGATGCTTTCACGTACAAGTGTGAAATGGGTCGTGTCATCGCGAAGACTGAGTGATGGTGAAGGCATTGTTTAGAGACAAAGGCTAATTATGAAGTTTATGGATAAAGATATCATGTTGAAGATGACGATAAAATGAATATGGTGGTGGTATAGTGATGATGGCAAGGTGATGACAAGGTGATGATGAAGATGATTATGAACGTGGCATAGTGCTGCACAGGTGAGGCAGCGCACTGTCTCATTTTCCCCGTTTCTTTCATGGATAAGAGGAACCATACCACGAATGAATCCTATTAACAATGAAGACTTTATGAAAAATAAGAATAGGAGTTACCCTTCATAATCATTCATAATCAAGAGTTACCCTGCTGGCAATAAAATAGGTGTTAAAATGTTCAGACACCAAATAGATACCTTTTGCAAGGAATCAAGTTTGCGTTAATCGCACGTACTTGTGGTGAACATGCAAACAAACATGCTGTGATAATATATGCATTGTCTTTGAAACTGATTGGCCTACACCAGAGACAGCCTTCTTTATGGCCTAGTCTCACCAGTGTCAGACCAGAGAACTCCAAAAGGCGAAAAGTACAAAGACAATGCACGTATCTGACCATTTATAGCTCAGGGTGAGCAGCTATATTATGGGATCTTTTTATGAGTGTCTGTGCAGAGCAGAAAGGGTAAAACTTCTCATTTTTCATATTTTGTTATGGCAAAAAGGTCCCATTAGAATGAAGTATTTGGTGGCTGAGAGGAATTAATTTCACATATAATGGGATGAGAACTCTCATTTACCAAATTGCGTATCCCAATCCAGCGCCCCCCACACGTATGAGTCACTGAGAGGAGTTCCCCTGCATCTCGTCAGCGCCTCACAATCTCCAGCATGATGCAAATTAGTAACTGAATACACCTTCTCTACAACCTCTATATTCGCACTTCCTACTGGGATAAAAGTGCACCAGAAAACACCTTAACACCCAGCTGTCTAGCCTCAGTAATTCAATCTGGAAAAAGTTTATACATTTGTAATGCGAGCAAGAATTGGGGGGGGGTGGAGTCTGGGTCACGTGGGGAGTGGTTGGAGTTAGGGTCACGTGGGGGGAGAGGATTTAAGGAGAGAACCGGAAGGGGAAAGGGAAGTTGAGACGGAGTGAAATACGAGGAGGCCACGCTGGGCAAGAGGGAGAGAGTGTCGCGGTTGCCACGCGGTGGGAGACGTCGACACCGACGGCCATCGGTGTCAGATGCTAGAGAGCTAACGGCGCAGTGAGAGGCTAGCTGTGGAAGGGACAGCAGTGACGCTAGAGAGCGGGGCAGCGGTGTGGCTGCAAGGATCGCCTGACGGGGCAGCAGTGAGACTGCATATTGGAACAGCAGGGAGCCTGCACAACGGGGCAGCCGAGGGCTGTGGAGAGGTCGTCGAGCGGGACGCGGGCCTGAGCGAGACGCCGTGGTATGGAGATTCTACGAACCCAATAAAGGACAACGGAGATCGACATCTGAGAGAAAGTCCTTTATTACACATTCATATATGATCTCTCCTGCGTAATCTGTATACTGCCAGTCTTCATGGGTTTCTACTGATTTATTTATGGTTGTATCAAAGACGTTGCAGAGCAAAATATTGAACTAATTGGATAATAAAGTTTTACATTGTACAAATTATATATACACATGCCATGGCTTCTGTCAAATAACCCCTCTTAACCCTAAAGAGAGATTATTTAATTGGCCGCGTATGTCTGCGGACGTAAATGATTTAGTCGCGGGGTGTACAGAGTGCGTGCATCGGAAACCACCGGCACACAGGTCACAGCCTCTCATACAACCGATCATTGTCTCCAGAGTCAATTCGTTGGTCGCGCTCGGTATTCTGGAGCCTTTTTCATGCTCATCAAGGGGAAATACATTTCTCTTGGTGGGGGTTGAGTATTTCACAAGGTGGCCGATGGCTTGCCACTGCCTGACCAAACGGCAACATCAATTACTTGATGCATTCCTTCACATACTGGATAAAATCCCTCTTGAACAGCTCCTCACTGATCAGGGATGACGTTTTTTTTTTCATTTAAACTTCTAAAAGAAGTATGCGAGGCACTGGGTACAAAACAGATGGTATGGTCGAACGGTTGAACAGGACCCTGACAGGGATGCTCTGCCACATCGTTAATGAGATGCAAACCAACTGGAATCTTCACATTCCGGGGTCTTGGCAGCAAATAGACTGGCGCCACATGCCTCCACGGGGGTTTTCCTCTTTTACCTCATGTACGGCAGGGAGCATGGACCACCCATAGAGAGACAGCTGGGAAACACTCTCAAAGGCGTGTCAGGTCAGCTGATGTCCTTGCAGGTCACGCTGGACCGACTACATGAGGCGCGGATAGCGGCAATACTAAACACCTCGAATGCCCAGGCCGCAAATTGTTGTATATATAGGCCTTTTTCCAAAAATTTATATTAAGAATAATTCTGCCAATATTTTTTCTTAAATAATCAATCGGTGTAGCATGGGGCACGAAAAAGGGTGAGGCACACCCTCACCACTCACCCCGCTACCTCCCACAAGCCACACCAGGCAGCTAGAGCCCATTAAATAATAAAATCCCGGGTCAAAGGGAGGTTAATGACAATCTGGAAAATCTCCACGGGGCAGGGGACCATAAGTCACGACCTCCTCGGACGTTTTGGACAGTTCACAAACAAATCTCCAGACTCACTGGCGCAGCAGAAACAGCCTGATTTAAGATAAAAACTTGCTGACATAACCTTTACACCAGAGGTGTGGACTCGAGTCATGTGACTTGGACTCGAGTCAGACTCGAGTCATGAATTTGATGACTTCAGACTCGACTTGGACTTGCATAACAATGACTTTGTCCCACCTCTGAGGTGTGGACTCGAGTCATGTGACTTGGACTCGAGTCAGACTCGAGTCATGAATTTGATGACTTCAGACTCGACTTGGACTTGCATAACAATGACTTTGTCCCACCTCTGCTTTACACCACCCCAATCGGCTTTCCACAAAGGCGAGAGCGACAGGGCAAGTGGACATTACAACTGGCGTTTTCTTTTCTCTCCTCCAACGGTAAAAGTTCGAAACTTAACAACAAGAATAAATCGACATTCTAGACCCAGTACACTCTCAGATTAAGAACCAGACTGCAGTCGACATTAGTGGCTTTTATTATTACTTATATTACTCTTATTCACCTCATATATATTTGTTCTTATTGTATCTTTCTATTTACGTGACTTTACCGAAAAAACCAAAGAATATCCATTCCAGCAGTCACGAAAGCTTAAGTTAAAACGTAGCTATATCTCCAACCTCAGGATATAAAAATATAACTCGAAAATAAGAAGCACGGATCCCTGGCGACACGGACTGAGAACAATGCTTAATAAAACCCTTGGAGTACCTGAGGTAACAACCATGGTACATTACAAATCTTGGTTAAACAGAAACCAAATAATAATCATGAGGTATTAGACCTAGGGTAATTTAAAAGAGATACAAGGCACAATAGGTCAAACACACTCGATCAGATAATATGTATTCCATAGGACCAGAGCCTCCAAACCACCTTTGTCTCCCAACAATTTGAAAAAACATGGAGCAATCAATTACGTATGAAGGGAGGGCCTCTCCTTGCGATAGCAGACACCACGAAGGCAGAAGGGTGGGGAGGACGCAAACCAAAACATTAACGGTGATGGAAAAGCAGCCAGACAAAGGTGAAAAGGAGGGGGGGGCAACCAGGCGGCTGCGGCCACGGGAGGAGAACGAGATAGAGGGCATCTGTTTTTTTTTTCTCGCAAGAGACGTGCAGATAGGGGAGACTTTCACATATGTAATGTGAGCAAGGAAAGAGGGGGCAGAGTCTGGGTCACGTGAGGAGAAGGAGGAGTCAGGGTCACGTGAGAGAGAGGATTTATGGGGAGAACTGGAAGGGATCTGGGAGTTGAGAAGTAGTGGAAACAGGAGGAGGCCACGCTGGGCAGTGGCGAGAGGGTGGCGCGATTGCCACGTGGTGTAAGGCCACGGCACCGTCGGCCAGCGGTGTATGTGGGGCACAGCAGAGCTAGTGGGCTAGAGTTAGTGAAGTAGAGCTAGCGGAGGAGAGCTAGTGGAGTGTGGGAAGCTAGCCGGGCGTGAAGAGCTAGCAGAGTGTGCGGGGCACACAGAGCAGCAGTGTGGCTGCGGAGTGGAGCAGCGGTGTGGCTGTGGAGCGGAGCAGTGGTGTGGCTGCAGGGTGCACGGTGGAGGAGGTGCGGGTCTGAGCGAGGACGCCGTAGGGGCGAGAGAGACAAGAACCCGAATAAAGAGCAACGGAGATCTACACTGTTTGAAGAGTTATTTATTACATTGGTGTCGGAAGTGAAACAGCATGTCAAAACAGCTCAGAAGAAAGAACGTCCCTGCACCATCTTCTGCACCATCTTCTGAAGACGATCTTCCTCCGGCGGTGGCGCTACCGACGATGGAGGGAGGAGGCGATGCAGGGACGAGCGACGCGCCGGGGGTGCAGGACGTTGCCGGCTCAG